ACGTGTCATGTCTGGAAGACGCGGACGGACACCTGCTAACTTCCAGTTCCGATCGCGCGTCCGCATTGGCCGCTCACTTCGCTTCCGTGTTTGCAAATGACGCGGCGTCCATACCCATCTCAGCAAGTAACATTCCTGTAGAACTCAACAGTTTGGTTTGTGATGTCGACGAGGTGCGCCTGCTACTTGCGAACCTTGACGGTACCAAGCCTGCAGGGCCTGACGGGCTTCATCCGCTAATTATCAAATCACTAGCTGCCATTATCTCGCCTGCTGTTACGGATCTATTCAACAAATCATTGTCTGAGGGCTCATTGCCAAACGACTGGAAGCGCTCGGTGGTGAGGCCGATCCCGAAAGGTGGCGACCCCAGTAAGGTGGATAACTACAGGCCAATTTGTCTTATACCCGTTTTGGCCAAAGTGATCGAGAAGATAGTAAAAAAGCGTCTAATACATCTGTTGCAATCGAAAGAACTTCTGACACCGGCACAACACGGATTAAGGATGGGATATTCTTGTGTTACCAACTTACTTGTGACGAGACAGGAATGGTTGCAAGCACTGAACCGGGGAAAGTCCGTCGACGTAATCTACATCGACTTCAGCAAAGCTTTCGACAAAGTCAATCATGAATTGCTTCTAGACAGATTAAGGTCGTGTGGTGTCGGAGGATCGTTACATCGATGGATCCATGAATTTCTCGTTGGAAGAAAGTGGAGAGTACAGGTGGACGGCCATCTAACCGATTGGTATCCCTCGACCAGTGGTGTACCTCAAGGGACGGTACTGGGACCTACTCTGTTTCTCATCCATATCAACGAGCTGCTCCAGCTTCTACGGTCGCCGTGTGCACTGTTTGCGGATGACCTCAAAATTTGGCGAGAAATTAATACTCTCGGTGACTGTGACATTCTCCAACAAGACCTCGACCGCCTCGCAGTATGGTCTGCTGAAGTCCACCTACCGGTCAACCCGGCAAAGTCCCTCTTCATGAATCTCGGGAAGGCTGTTCACGGCCGAACGTACACCCTAGACGGCCAACCACTGCATCCCACACTTTCCGTGAAAGACCTAGGTGTACTCTCACGCTGCGACTTGAAGTCCGTCGACAACACCAACAAACTGTATCGAAACGGACTGCGCATGCTCTGGGCGCCGAAACGCAGCTTCTGAACTTGGTCTGAGGACGTCGCCGCTCGCCTCTTCTCTTCCATCGTCAGACCAATGCTAGAGTACGGCTCGCCTGCATACTGTCCGATCACTCGCGGCGAAGTGCAAAAGATCGAACGAGTACAACACATCGCCACCAAGTTGATCCCCAGCTTGAGAGGCTTATCGTATGAAAACCGGTGCATGAAACTTGGGCTCTACACCTTGTCATATCGCCGTGTTCGAGTGGATCTTATCATGACCCACCGTATTTTACATCTCGGTCATTTCCCCATGCTGAGGTCGTTACTCCACTTGCGAGTACCATGCACCACACGTGGGCACAGGTACAAACTCGTGGTACCTGATCTGAAGAAAATCCCACACCCACTGTGTTTCGAGCGGAGGGTTGTGCACGCCTGGAACAGTCTGCCAGAACACGTCGTCGAGGCCGGATCTGTGCAGAAATTCAAATCTTTGTTGGATTTACACTTCGCTAACAGAGAACGATTGCCACTTGACAACGGTATCACCCACTTGTGACTCACTGTGTAAACAAGCATTTTATGTGCTACAGAAGGAGTTGCTGAACCATCTCAGAATAACCAACGGACGTGTTTATTTTTTTTAACGTTTTTTGATTATCACCCGATGGAGTTGTACAGAATTATTTTCTACTTGCTCCAAAATACAGTATTCAATATTCAGCACATACATCAACTTAAAAAAACTCCATGGCATACTTAAGCTTTTCGTCAGTCGAGGTGGTCACAACCTTGGACCGATCTTTTGTTACAAGCCTGTAGCTCAGTCGGCCGGTGGACGAATAACACGCCTGTCTTGCAATCCGGAAGTCATGGGTTCGGATCGGCGTAGGGGTGGATGACCTCGCTAACGGTGGAAGTCGCGTGGAGCAGAAGCGTCGGTACGATGTGCAGGTGTGATGCCGATATCTTTTTATGAGGTACAAGATCTACTTACGATCCTCATGTCTTCACTCAAGGCAGAAGAAATAGCCTTGAGTTACACGCTTTTTGATGAACCGCTTTAGGTGATAGAGAAATGCAAACGTTTACTGCGTGGGTATAAAGATAACTTGTGGTGCCCCCTATTCAGCTTTCTGATACATTCCTACGGATTGTTCAGCAAAGCGACCGCACAGTCGTAATGCGCGAACGGTGGAATGGTTCCAGGTGCTTTATTTTTGTGACGGTGACGATTTACATAACTTACTAGAGAATCTATGGGAGCAGCAGTCTGTCCTAATAGATTAGAGCAGTTCCGTAATAGTAACAATTTGTAAGGGTGGCTCTTATTCAGAATGTGGCATAGAGAAATCAGTCTGATCTCAATTGCCTCTAAGTTATTCGCCTGTCATCATCCACAGAATGACCGGCATTCGTTTAAGTCAGATGCATGAGCAGCGGGCAGAGTTTCCTTAAAATCGAGACTGAACTGACCACATTATCACAATACTTCGATTGCTGGAGCACCGCAATGTTTATTGGCGACCCACTGTAATTCTGTTCCCAGCCATCGAAGAGGCCTTCGATTCGGTTGATCGATGTGCTCTTTTGAACTGTCTGCTCAGGAAAAGTGTGCCCGATAAAATGTCGTAAGGGCGCTGCATTGTATAGTTCGGGCAGAGTATTTTACATGATTATTATTATTCAACACTTAACCAATGTGCAATTGGCAGCGCCACAACACATAGTTAACAACAAAAAGGGGAAAACGGAGAGTCAGTGAAGGGATTTGGAAAGTTTAGGATGTTACTGTGTTGTGTGGGCAGAGTGAGGGTTTACGGCAAACTTTCGCCGTCTTTCAATATCTCCAAGGGTGCAAAACAAGGTTAGCCACTATCACCTTTCTTCGGTAACTTCGCCATTGACGAAGTCATGGAAATAGCGTTCGTCAGGCACGACTTAGATGTGGAGCTGCTTCCAGGTGACCGACATCTTGACTTGGAGTATACAGACGACACAGCTCATGCGTGACAGTTTTCGAACGTGCCAAGTCGCACAGGATAAATTAGTTGTGGCAGTCAGTCGTTGCGGGCTGTGCTGCGCACCCTCGAAATGCAAAGTCCACCAAGATTAGTAGGGACCTACTTCTGCGCTGAACCTTAGCGGTGGTCAGTTAGAAATCGTCCAGAAACTTCTATATCTGAGCAGCTACATTAGCGCCACCGGGGTTGAAGATGAGATTACGAACCGTACATCGAAAGCTCGAGGTTCATTTGCGTATCTCCGCCACTCGTGACGCTAGCATGACATCACGCTCCCTGAAGGGCAGTTTACGGTGCAGCCGTCCGTTCAACCCTCTTAAACTGTCCCATCAGGTCGAAAAACGTAGAGGCTAGCTACGTTCGACCACCACTGCCTTCGCAGCTTAGCTTATGTCTGGTGGCAACATAACATGAGCAACGGGCACTCGGCGTAGTTAGAGTAGGAAGAGCGAGTGAACCGCTCAGTATGGTTATGCCAAACGGCAGGTTCAAATATCTTGGCCGCGTGTTGCGGAAGCCAGCAAACCCATTCGCACATCGTGCGCTGCGCTCCCGGGGTCTGGATGGAAGATGAGGTGAGGTCAAGCGATGGCTTGGTCAAGAGGAATGAAGTCCTTCACTTCGAAGCTAGCGTCGACTGTTGTCTCCCGACTGCCGAGATGGGGACAAAAGGACGATGAACACGTTTAGTTAGGTAAACTAGCTGACATGGCGAAGAGCCGACATGAGTGGCGTGTGTTGAGTCACTATCCTTCGCCTTCATTTTAGCGTCTTCCGCTAACACCGATCTTAAACCCAAGGTAAGTGATTGTTGCATTAAGTTACATTTTCAGCTTTTAGTCTTAACGTTTAATTTTGTTTGTACTGCGGTTTATTAGCGAAGGGCTTTCTTAGCTCCGGCTAACGTATATTGTTGGTGATGATTTTTGTTTCGGTACAAGAACAAGCTGCAACCGATCCGCCTGGCAGTTTAAGAGGTTACCAACGCGAGCACCCCGAAGCAAAAGTTGTCAGTATGCCAAGATAAAATTTCTCATAATTTCGCAACCTACTTCACGTGAACCCTTTCCATAAAACGGGTGTCAAGGAGCCAATAGAAACCCTGGGTCAATGAGGAGTTAGCATACAGTCGCTGTCAAAAGCAAAAGCCGCATAACATGCATGACTGAAAATTTTCGCTGGAGTGACCGCTGGAGAGCCGAGTGACCGTTCCTTATGCCCCTGGTCGTCCCAGCGCTAGTATAAATCAGGCAGATGATGGTCCAAAGTGGTTCAATGGTTGAAAGGCAATCAAACAAGCAATAATGAAGTGAGGAAAACAAGCACAACAACAAAAACAAGCCAAATGGATCGGAATGCAAGGTTCTAAGAATGTCGAGCGTAATGCACCAGACTGGGTGAACATATGCAATAAACCAGTGCACGATGACAAGTGTGAACTCACAGTTACGCACCAAGTCGAACTGTCAAAGCGAATACTGTAGGACAAGACGCAACCGGCGGATCGCGCATAGAGCTAGCAGACAAAAGCCATAGACAGAAAAAGGTACTAAAACGAAAGCAAAGCAATAGGTAAAAGTAGAAGTAAGGTAAAACGTAATTGAAGATAAACAACGGTACTGTCAAGTAGAATAACAACCGAGAAAAAGAGATGCTACCAAGTGGGGCAAAAAGTAAGGAAAAGCAACATCGAGAACGGTTGCATATATTTCAAAGAACGAAAATCCTCACAACATGATTTCTGTACACAAGCTGAAATTTAAAACAACCTTAGGGTTTATTTAATGGAAAACTAAAGAAAAACTTGAACGAAAGCAAAAGTCAAAAAAACGCATTCGAACCGTGTAATCTTTTCAATTAAGATAGGTTAAAACAAAGTTTCTGTTGCCCAAAAATGTTGTGCCTTTAAAAGTAAATGCGTGATATATACAATGTTACTAATCTTAGTATTGTCAGAGGACTATTTCTTAACACATCGGCAACCAACGGACTTGGGCCGAGAGAGCACTTTTCGGTGCGGTCACCTACAGTGTATATATTGCATAAAATTGCGATAGATGAATAAACATGTGGTTGCATCATATAATGCTTTTTCTAAAGATAAGCCTTATCCCCTTACGCGAATAGCCAGTACCATTTGCCACGAGCTTTCGAAGGACATCATCACACCACGACACACCGTTGTCCCACTATGATCAGGAACAGTCGGAGCTGACAAATGTTCTTCTCTATGTTCCCTGCAACGGTGACGGTAACTGCTAAACTTACAACGCCCTTTAAAGATCATTTAAACAATGTATTCCCTATCTTCCCTTTAGTCGTTAAATATCGCCAGTGTGAACGCTGTGTAGGCCGAAGCCAAAAATCACCTAGCTGACTGATCGTTTTACTGGATATGTTCATTAACTCTTCTTCGGTATATGCTTGTAGTAACCTTGAACCTCCGTCTGTAGTGTATCGTCGTCGCCACACACTGTGTCCGGCCTCCTTCTCGTCTTCTCACTTGCGCCATGATCCCCGTGTATCGGTTGTGTTCGCCTGTCGTACATTCGTAAGCGTTCGCTTTGCTGCCCCTTTTTCAGACCGACCGTGCAACAGACATCATGTTACATTTTCGGTGCCCGAGGTGCTTCCCAGGTAGTATGTCGACAAAAGAAAATCCCAACCCTACCACCCTTCACCTCGGCGCATAAAATGACGTTGCTCTTGGATCAAAGGACCACCCCTGGGTCAGCCTGGCGTTTTCAGGCCAGGTGACTTGCTCTAACTAGAGAAGAACCGAATGCATATCAATTTGTCGCGACCATCGGCAGTACATCATGAATTTTCTCAGTGTCGGAGCCGCACGTCACTTGTTAGCGTACAGATTTCCGCAAAAAGCGCTTTCGGAGACCAGTTGGTCAAACCTCCGGACCTTGATTGCAGCCTGCAATTCTCATGTTGTTTCTTTGCAATCCTTTTCGCCCGACAGCAGCTAACGTCAGAGAACGTGCGGCATTACCTCGCAAACTTGCGCGAACTCGCAGCAAGAGCATTTCCCGAGGCTTCAAAAATGGAACTTGAACGTCAGGTACTTGGTCGTTTTTAGTTTGTCGTTACGAGCCCTGATCTACTCTGGAAGTTCAGACGTAAGCCTCCTTGGACATTCGAAGGAGCCATCGATATTTCCATCAGTTTCGAGCGCGCAGAACAGTTACGTTCGTATTTGAACCAAACTCGGTATTAACAACGTTCATACGTGGATCCAACTGTCGATGCTACCCTAACAGTTGAACGCATCTATGTTACTTCCGGGAACCAAAGGAATTGTGCATACTGCCAGGAGTTTGGTACGAGAGTCCAGCAATGCCGCCACAACCCTCAGTGAAACCTGTTAGGGAGCCCGGTTCTTCACATTGCGCTTCTTTGCTACTTATGTGTCTGTACACGCTTAACCATTCCACTTGTTCGCTTACCGTTTCGAGTAGTATAGATGACCGTCCCGCTAACATCCTCATTAACATAAACGATACCTTTTGCGTTCTACACACAGGTTTTTTAATCATGAGAGTGAACTTGCTAAGGAAGTTAGCACGCATTTTATTACGGCTGACGTTCACATATTCCAACGCATGGTAGAGTAGGCAAAAGTATCCAACTGGGGTTATTATTTGCTACATTTGCATCCATGCTCGCTTCAGGTACATAAGATGCTATAGTAGGAATTAGTTTTCAGGGGCCATGTCTCTTTTATCGATGCGAGCAAGAGCATGGTCTCATTTCGTTGCGAGGCGCTTACGTTCGTGTATTGTCTCCAGAATTCTGCCAACAAACTGCCCCGCTCCGATCCGGTGGACGGCGTTGGGATTGACACTCTGCTGCACGAAGCCGCAGGGTACTTTAGAGTTAGCGGGTCTGCTGCCCAAGTGTTCCGATATTTTCGAATTCAGCTGCGATGACCCCGGAAGAATAATTGTGCTACGACACAGCCCAGCTACCATGACACATCACTCAGTACGACGAGCATGTAGACGTTTTCCAATCCACTATCAGCCACAGCGGGAGGTGACCAGCGGTAGGTCCGATTAGAAAATTATTCGGCTTCCGTCTTCTCCGTGGGCATCACCCATGGTGCTTGTTAAGAAGGAGGAGGGTGCAGGGCGCTTATGTGTGGATTATCTTAAACCGAATGCCATCCCACTGCGTGCTTCGTTTCCTCTGCCAAGGATCGATGTCATTTTAGAAGCAGTCGCCGGTGCTCCGTGGTTTTCCAACATTGACTTGGCGGCGGGTTATTGGCAAGTAACAGCAAGTACAGCTGGCAGCTAATCCCAAACCAGCGTTTGCCGTTCCATCAGGTTTATATAAATATGAAACCAGGCCATCCGGGAGCACTAATGCTCCAGCTACATTAAAAGTCTGATGCTGAAGGTATTAGGTGCGTTAGTCCCGCAAGTTTGCTTAATTTATCTCAGTCAATGAACGCAATCGACGATTCCCTGTGCTTTTTGCAGGCTTCGTGACACTGGGTTGACGCTCAAAACAAAAAATGCAAGTTAATACATACAGGCGTGTTCTTTTCTTGGTCACAAAATTGCGGGTAGCAGAAGTACGGTTGAAAATTTGAAACTAAAACTATCCTTACCTGGCTGGCACCCGCTACTTCTCAAGACCTTCGGAGTTTCGTAGAGGTGGCTTCATAACAGCAAAAATCCGTCAAAGGTTGCGCAGCGATTGCAGCGCCCCTCCGTCGATTGACAAATCAAGGCAGGCCATTTTTGCGGACTTACGAGGGTGCGACCAAAGTAGCAACGTTGAAGAAGGCGTTATCCTCGCTAATTATACAAAAATTTCCTGATATTTTGTAGCAAGCGGAACACTTTAGCTTTGACAGCAACGCAAGTGATACAGCTGTGGGGCTGTACTAACACAGTGTCAAGTAAGAAAAGCAAAGGTTATAGCTTATTTCAGCCGTCAGGTGGATAAGCGGGAGAGGCGACATTAAATAAATAAATAAATAAATAATTTATTCTCAGTTTCATAGAGACACACCAACGCAGGCATGATCAAGGTTTAAAAACCGACGTGTATCACGACGATACATTGGGTTCAAGCGTGTGTAGTTGAAACAGAGTCGGGAGGAGTTGATATGTTAGTCTAGTCGACTTGCCAGTTTGTAGTTGTGGGCTGTGACTTTATTCAGTGGCGAGTCACATCCGCCACGTCGCAGTGTTGTTAAACAGACATTTGTGGCTTTTTATAGGGAGAGCGCTTGCCAGGCGAAAACCCACCACGTCCTGCAACACTGCCGTAAAGTATTTTGAACATTAATGTTGAACTGGCAAAGCCGCTTGACGACTGGTTTTACCTTCGGATTTTCGCAGAGTAATGGCTTCCAATTTCCTCTGCTAGTTGGACAGGTAATTTGATCGGGGTCGCCATTATTTTTGAGATCGGTGGAGGAGAGGGACCTCGTGATTATTCATCTTATTGTATGTCCAGGTGAACAAAAGTTCAACTTCTCCGCTGTCCAGGTTTTACAGATGTATAATTTTGGGGAGTATGAGGATATGTCCATTTCTCCATACTGGACAAGGGTTATGGTGATTGCAGTTCGGTCCTCTCGGAGTTCTACCATGCTCCAGGTAAGTCCATGTGGGTTGTCGCGTCCGTCTTGGGCCAAAACTGTTCCTCAGTCCAATCCCAGATCTCCAAGAATTCCCGGACCTCAGAGAAAAGGGAAAGTGAGGGACAGCCGAGAGAAGACCGCAAGAACAGGCATGGAGTTGAACATTGTTAATATCTTAAGTTACAACACTTGTGCTTGAGACAAAAGCATGTACACTGTGCAACAATAATTGTGCTGAAAATGTCTTTTGAATATCCTACAGAATCATTAGCCGTATAGGTGGATTGCTAACGCCTGCCTAGAGACAAGATCGTTGTACAAGTAAGTAAAGTACGAAGTATCCGTTTAGTAGGAGCCAATAATTGCGTAGGGATAGAGCAAAGAGAGTTAGAATAATGGTATTTATTGTCAGGTTTATGAACAGCAAGTAGTTGACGTAATCCGAGAGGGAGCGCGTAATAAGCGAAAATAAATGGCTTGCCGTGAGAGTCCTAAAGATTAATTGGTGGCAGGGCAGAGGAAGGATTGGATGCAGAAATTCTAGAGGAATAAAGGATATTGAGGTACGGAGTGGCTCCTAACAAGCATTAAATTATCGCATATGCATGGAGCCAATGGCCACTATCTATTTCTGAACAGAAATTCCGTATATACGACGTACGACAGGTGGCGATAGAAGAGAATAAGTGGCCGGACGTAGCCATTCCAGTCAGACGCGTATGCCTATAGGGTCGCTGAGTGTATCAACAGGCCAATAAAAGTAAGTGACAGTTCAGGTGATAGGTCAACAGACCAGCAGATTTGTGACGCAAGCAATCCAAAAGAATGAACATTGCAAGAAGGGAGCTAGCTCCGGCGAAATGTTGGTCTTAGTTTAATTTTCGGCTCACTTATGCTGCTTTCGGCCAACCGTTTACTGTTCGAACCAACCACCGAACACTCCAGTGGCCGCAGAATTTTCGCGACTTGCAAGGACAGCTCGCACGCTGGTAAGAACGTCTACAGGAATACCAGGCCACCTGCCAGTAACTGTCCGGTCGACGACACAGTAAACCTGACGCGGTATCTCGACGTCCAGTAGACCCCGAGCAAGTTGCCGCGCTGTTTTCTACGGAGTAGAATGAAATTTAGCGCTCTCTACTAGCGTCCGACCCTTACTGCGGGTTCAGCTGCACAAGACGATGCACTTGCGGGACCAAACCGTCTGGGAACGCACTGATGGGACGGTCGAAAGCAGCTAGAAGCGTGTGGAACCT